AAACTGAAATAAAATGTAAAAATCAGTTACCTTTTTTTTCAGTGGCCCCAATCCTCTTCCGTACTTATGTGACTTTGAGTGAAATAAAAAAAAAAGTCCAGTCTCTGCTTGAACGCAGCGTTCTCTGCAGGCTGAGGCTGATGTTGCGAACGCAGATTGGGAAACGGCCCGTCTGTGAGTAAAATTCCATTCCTAGTTTTGCGGCTACTTCCGGTTTCTCTGCTGCCAGGGAACGCCCCTTTCTCCCACTTCCTCAAACCGTCAGTTTATATCAAGCAGCGTAGTTGGTTCGTGGTTCTCTGCTGTGGGGCGATAACAGCTGAACCAAAGGGAAACAACTAACTGAAGCTCAAAGGCGCAAAAAAAAGGTAAATATTAAGATTTTGCAGCGGAACTCAACTGCGTAGCCGCGTGACCTAGCATCCAGCTAGCATAGCTAACCCAGCTAGCATCCGTTTGTAGCCGCAGTGGACAGTCTGGGGTTTTATTCACAGTATAAGGTGAAAGTCCAAACTGACAGCTTCTATTTTACACATTTCTGTGAACGCTTCTCAGATTTATTTACTGCTTTGTTTCACTGAAGCCTAAATATTTAACTATTGCCCTTCAAATGGATCAAATCTTTTAAAAAAAAAGCGTCAATAAAGAGGTTTGCATAATGTGCAAAGTTCAGTTAAATAATTACTCAATGATCTTTAACATCTTCCATTCAGTCTTTACACTAGTCTGTTAGTAATGTGTAGATTTACTACCACATGGTGGAAAAGTACCTTTGCTGTACTTTCATTTTGAGAAAAAGCAGAGCTGATCTAATATCTGTAGATCTTAGTAGGCGTTGCGGTTCTGCTTCATGAGCCTCCTGGTCTGATCTGATCTTGGCTTCCTCAGGAATGTCATCACGTGTGCAGAGCAAGAGGATCACAGGGTGTTCTGGTCAATAAAACAAACACACCTTTAAAAGTAGCTCCACACCAGGAAAACACAGATCAATAATGATCAGATCCAGAGTGGGTCATACCTTTTTAAATTTCTATACTTATAAATGTGAAGGATGTGGAGAAAAGGAAAATATATAACACATACTGATGAACTGTAAAACTTCTAAACATGAAAGGGAGAAATTTAGAAGAATGGTTGGAAGGACAGACCAAGAATGGAGTCTTAAAGGAATGTTGGGAAATGAAGGAAATATAAAGGACCAGGCTGTATATCTGGATGAGCTGATGGCGCATGCGCAGGGCGGGTCGTGCTTCCGGGGCGGATCTCATAGTGACAGCCCATTTTCAGGAGATTAGATCTTCACATCAAGGATTGGAGTTCATTGCATTCTTAATGTATGACGAACAATACATTCTGAATTCCACCCTGCGGCTGTCATTGAATTATGTTCTTGTTCAGATCTGTCCACCCAACTGTTTCCTTGCTCCATTATGTGTGAAAAATGTAGAATGACCCAGGAATGCATTAAAACTGGGATGAGGATGAAAGAGAGTGGGTTAGCTTGGGTGGTCCCTGGGGGTCTGCTCTGGATGGGTCCTGCTGAAACAGAGGAACGGTTGGATCACAACACGGCCTCCACAATGTGTCCATAATGAGCTAGCTGGGAGCTAACGATGTAGCCAGTTGGGAGCTAACGATGTAGCCAGCTCACTGCAGCAGTTTCTTCTGACACACGTGGCTCTGTCAGTCTGTTTGGAGAGCATTAGCATTCAGTTAAACTCTTAAAACCATCAGCAGGAAGCTTATTTCAAACAAAACACAAACTATTCGACCTAGTTCACCCGGGCAGAGCGACTATTAAGCATCAGATGGAAAGTCAGAAGGATGGATGTTACTGTGCTGTAGAAGTTCTCCGTCATCCGGGTCACAGTCATTCTAAAAAAGTTAAAATCAATCCGCTGGACTTTGTTTCCCAGTTTAAAGACGTTTCTCTTCCATCCAGGAAGATT